AAGTCATTGCGATTGAACCGAATCATTTAAACGGTTGATAATTATTTTTGTTGTAGAAATAGAGCAAAAACAGGCAATATGGTGTCTAAAATGCAAGTCTCTTAATTAACTTCTTGTTTATTGAACTGTTGTAAAAAAAATCTATATGTAGTCATGCTGATTTTTGGAGGAAAAAACGGCACTCTTCGTGTGATATTGATTTACTATATGAAATGATATAAATATATAAATTTTCTTCCTCTATATCTTCAATTTTGTGATCATTCTAAATGCATTTTAGCAGACTGAATCACGCAGTGAAAGAACGCACTCTAAATGCGCGTGCTCTAGTCTAATCTACTAGACTCAAAGGCACTCTGTAGGAGTGTTTTGTTTTGTTTTTGGCAAAATACTGATAATGTCAAATCGCACATCGTTAAAACAACAATTACGATATTCTTGCAGACGATATACTGTATATCACACACCCTGCACCTAGTTTGGTCTCCCTAGGCAAACACAGCTTACACTGCATAATAGAGCTTAAATATGGCCAGGGGTTCACTTAATTTCCTTCGAGTTCAACTTCAGCAGAATACGACGGGGTTTCGTTTTCAGTTGGGTCTGCTCTGCACCATAACGCCTGTCTTGTCCGTCTGCATCTTTCTTGTGATTTTAGCGCCAGTTTGCTCCCATGCCCATTTTTTACTGCAGTATTTTCCAGGGAGCGATTTTTTTTTTTACTCAGTAAATAATAATATAAATGTATATACATGTAAATATTTTCAAAATATATACTGTATATGTGCGTATTTATATATACATAATAAATAAACACAGTAAACATACATATATTATCAGAGGTGGAAAGAGTACGAAAATATTCTACTCAAGTAAAAGTACCATTACATTAAAGAAATTTTACTTAAGTACAAGTAAAAGTACCAGTCTAAAAATCTACTCAAGTAAAAGTAAAAAGTATCTCGTTTAAAATTTACTCAGAGTAAAAATTACTTAGTTAGATTTTAACAGTGGGAGGGAGGCAAAAATGGGATAGGCCAAGGGTGTCAAACTCAGTTCCTGGAGGGCCACAGCCCAGCACAGTTTAGATATAACCCTAATTAAACACATCTGATCCAGCTAATCTAATCATTTAGGCTTATTTGAAAACTACAGGGTATGTGTGTTGGAGCAGGGTTGGAACTAAACTCTGCACGGCTGCGGCCCTCCAGAAACTGAGTTTGACACCCCTGGGATAGGCCTATAAATCTCAAACTAGTTGTTTTTATTTTAAGGAATCAGTTATTTAGAATAAGAAGACATTTGGGCTGTTACCAGGCAAATTAAATCCGTATCAACAAAATTCATCTTTGAAGTACACAAAAAAGCTACTCAATTACAGTAACGCGAGTAAATGTAATTTGTTACTTTCCACCTCTGCATACAGCCGACTGCTGGTCTACATGGAGATCGAGTCCCTCAGCATTAAGGGCTTTATCAGTAAGTCTGACGCACACTTCACCGATGCTTGAAACTGTCCTTGTGTGTGATTGGCTACGTTTACATGCAACCAAATAATACGTTTGTAATGGGATTGACGGCTCAATCGGACTGAAAACCCTTCATGTAAACACCTTAATCGATCCGATTGAGCACGATCGGAATGAAATTTCGATCGGATTGAAGGGGGTGGTTTATTCCTTTTCTAATACGATTGAGAGTGCATGTAAACACTCGATCGGATTGAACCCCGAAACTAAAAGGACTGCGCATGTGCAAAGACGCAGAAAAAGCGTCCATAAATGAATACATATTAATTCTGCTGTTAAAAACAAATAAAGAAACCGTGTAGGAGAGTGGTTATTATGTGCAAACAGTGAGAAACTCTATATTTGTGCAGTGTGCGCATGTTAAAAAAAAATCTATTCCAATTTGAAGCTTGTGACGTATAAACGCGCACATCAACCCGATCACTTTATTTAGCGTTCATGTAAACACTACATTCAGATTCATCAATGATTGAACCCAAAATTGTGCATGTAAACATAGCCACTGTGTGTGTTTCTTCGACCCTCCGCTAGGTCAGCTTCTGCCGAACGTGTTCAAGTCACACGCGTGGGGGATTCTGCACACGCTGCTGGAGATGTTCAGTTACCGCATGCACCACATTCAGCCTCATTACCGCGTGCAGCTCCTGTCACACCTTCACTCGCTCGCTGCTGTTCCACAGACCAATCAGAACCAGCTGCACCTCTGGTGAGTCTCCACACATACTTGCCCTGCACCAGGGCCGGACTGGGACGCAATTTCAAGCCGGGAAATCTCACACTCATCCAGGCCACACAGAAAAAAAAGGGCCAAAATTGTACCTTTGGGGTACAACAGCTTGACACTGTAGCAGTACTCTTAAAAGGACATCTTTGCAAAAACCAAACAAAACACACCTAGTGCACGCATAAGCGACTACACTAATGCGTGCGCATTTAGAGTGTGTTCTTTCACTGCATGATTCAGTCTATTAATATGCATTAAGAATCATCACATAATTCAAGATAAGGGGGCAGAAAATGTATATTTATATAAATTCATATAGTTAATCAATATCACACGAAGAGTGACGTTTTTTCTTTAAAAAACCGCATGATTACAAATGTGATACTGATTTTATGCAACAGTTCAATAAACAATAAGTTAATATCAAGAGACTTACGTTTTAGATACTATATTGCCTGTTTTTGCTCTATTTCGCCAACAAAAATAATTCCAAACACAGCCACAGCGCTGTTTTGCGTCTCTGAGCAACATGACGGTCTTTCGTTCCCGAATGAATCAACCGTTTAAATTATTCGGTTCAATCGCAATGACTCACTTATTAACAGTGACTTGCTGCCACCTACTGGAGGTTTTAATTTCACATTTAAAGTATCTTCATTTTTTTAATCATTTCAAATATCAGTATTCTATGTTTCATGTTTAAAATATAGAAACATTATTTATGCATTTGTAACTGCAGGTTAAAACATTCCATGTCCCTCTAAGCTGCATTAAACAGTGTGTAAATACATCTAAATGCCACTTCATATGCAACTTCTGCAAAGATGAATTTTCTTGATACTGATTTCATTTGTTTAGTAACAGCCTAAATGTATTATTATTCTAACTGACTGACTAAATGTAAAAATTTGACTCAAATGATCATGCACACTTTTAGAAAAAATGGCTTTATAAAGGTAAAGATGCCCATAAAAGGTAAAAATACATTTAAACTTATTGGAAAATATTAATTTCTAATCAGTGTGAACTAATCACACAGAATATGAAATATATCAAAAACTTTAGGAGTCAGCTGTCCAATGTAGTCCTTAAGATACCAGCACAATAACACACTCAGCAAAATATCGTCTAATTATCTTTACCGATAAAATCCCAGAAAATATTGAGACATCATTTTTTTTGTCAATATCGCACACCTCTAGTACTGACACAAAGTGATGTTTTATTAACAAATTTCGGGAGGAGCACGCGCAGATAATTAACACGGCCAATCCATCATCAGTAATTACACCATCTATCCAACCAGCACAAGAGAGAACCCCTATAAATAATCAAAGCAGTCTTACCTGCATTATCTCTAGTCTTTCAGCATCCCTCCACCGCCCCGACTCCTCACCTTCACCCCGTTCCTACCCCAGCATGGGGAGGAGCACTCGCGGGGAGTGCTCTGGGTCCGGGCTAAAAGCCGAGCTCGAACCCCTCTCCCCGGACAGCACGCCAAATACGCATAACCTTTACTCAGTTTATTATATGTAAGTGTGAACTCGTGAAATGATTTGCAGTGGTTGCTTTGTCACGTCCAGTGTAGACAGCCACAAGCTGTTGGTTTATTTCTGTTTTTATTTTTTGGCTAGTAGAAGTTATGAATTAAATTTTTTTTTAATATAAAAAATATAGTAGCCAAACTGGCAGGTGAGTGAAAAAGTTAATTTCAATCCCTGATTGTATGGGTCAAAATGATCGATTTTTCTTTTATTCCAAAAATCATTAGGATATTACTGCAATAATTAAATGTTAAACAACACAAATATGCTTTATGTATTTAATCCCATTCTATTAACCAATGTCTTTGCTTCTGACCTTCGATGATTCAGTTCAACCGTGCTAATAAGCAAAAATCATTCTAGACAAACATTGGAAAGCTTATTTATTCAGCTGTATATATATTCAGATGTAGATATCTCAATTTAAAAAAATTGACCCTTATGACTGGTTTTGTGGTCCAGGGTCACATATTGGAATGGTTACCAGTGTTGGGGGTAACTCATTACAAGTAACGCGAGTTACGTAATCAGATTACTTTTTTCAAGTAACTAGTAAAGTAACGCATTACTTTCCATAAAAAGTAACTAAGTAACGTAATTAGTTACTTTTTTTATGGAGTAACGCAATATTGTAATGCATTACTTTTAAAAGTAACTTTCCCCAACACTGATGGTTACTTACTGAAATAAAGCAGCTTCGATGAAGTGTGCGGCCGACAAATGCATTTTCCAGAGGACACAGCCTTTGAAATGAGATGCAGCTAGTATTTTCACTACCCGAATGCTTAAAGTTAATGAGCAAAAATTAATAGTTATCACAGACTGCTCATGATGACTAAGATTTTGATGCTTTTCTGGATAGTGTTGTAATTGTGGAAAAATGACACAATACAGTGGTGCGCAGTCTAGAGCAGCACAATTGTCAAAAGATTGTGATCTCGATTCAAGCACCCATGCAATCTTATTTCTAAATGACAACAATTTGCCTGTGTCTATTAAACCTTTGACCAAGTCATATGAGAACAATCAAATCTGTGTTAGCGCAGCTGCTGACAAAGAGAGAGAAGTTATCATCTTCAGATATTAAACACCTTCACAAACAGTCTTTTCAACCATACAGTATTTTTCCTGTCTTAAAGTAATTCATATTATCACAGATGTATTAGGATAAAAGCGTATAGTTTGGATATAAACACTGATGTCTATGGTAGCAATCAAAATGGAGCATATCCGGAAAAAATTTCGCTTCAAATTGGTGCTACAAATAACGTTTGTTGATTACAATGTTTATTACATTGTTTTGCCACTAGGTGGTGACAAGGGACTGTTAAAAATGTACTTGTCATTGAATCATTCATTCAACAGATTCATTCAAAAACGCTGATTCATTCAGGAATGGAACAAGTGAAGTATTTATGAGTGAGTCATTAAATCATTCATTCAAGAGATTCATTCAAAAACGCTGATTTATTCAGGAATGGAACAAGTAAAGTATTTATGAGTGAGTCATTGAATCATTAATTCAAGAGATTCATTCAAAAACGCTGATTCATTCAGGAATGGAACAAGTGAAGTATTTATGAGCGAGTCATTGAATCATTCATTCAAACATTTTTTCAATAATTCATTCAAATTAAATAAACATTTTTGAATAGAATGCAGCTCAATTTATGCATACTGTAAGCTGCAGCTGTAGTATCTGTAGTGTGGCAGTGCCTGTGTGCTGGCCTGCTGTCTGTACTCATTCTGTGTGTTTGTGTGAGCAGTGTTCAGAGTACCGCTCTGAGGTTGATCATGGCTCTGGGGAGTTCAGAGGTTCAGCCGCAGTTCACACGTTTCCTCAATGACCCTAAAACTGTGCTGTCTGCCGAGTCAGAAGAGCTGAACCGAGCGCTGATCCTCACGCTGGCTCGAGCCACACACGTCACAGGTATTTCACACCATTAACACACTGCTGATGCCTGGACTGTTCAAAACACACATTACAGAACTGCCAAATCCCCCCATCTGTGTGTGGTGCAGATTTCTTCACTGGCTCGGACTCCATTCAGGGCACCTGGTGTAAGGACATCCTGCAGACCATCATAAACTTCACACCTCATAACTGGGCCTCTCACACGCTCAGCTGTTTCCCTGCTCCGCTGCAGGTACTCATACACGTGTGCACACTCTGACTCATAACAGTAGTCAAGTCACCTTTATTTACATAATGCTTTTAACACTACAGATTGTGTCAAAGCAGCTTTACAATATTAAATAGGAAAATAGTGTGTCAATAATGCAAAAGGATAATAGTAAACACTAGGGATGCAACAATACAGTTAGTCCACGGTACCTCGGTTTTTAACCACGGCTTTCGGTTCGGTTCTGATAGCTTGGCACATCAGTGTTTTTTGCAACAAATTAGCAACAAAAACTCGTGTAAACCGCTGCACACTGGAAAAAGCGTGGATTATTATATGTCTGCTTAACATTTCTTTTGAGAGAGGTATTATTTTTTTCCGATTTTTACCCAAAATAGGATGGATTGGCAATTATTGAGTGCTATAAACACATGTAATGTGTGTTTCATTCATACTGGACGCCAGAGGGCGCCCTTGCGCAGAAACTCCACATATGCATCACAGAAGTAATAGAACTGATGACGTCCCAGGAAATCCCTAATATGGATAAAGGCATCACTATGGATGTAACTGAATAAAAAGAAGATATAACTTTAAACGTTTTGAATGATGAAATGTAAGGACAATAAACACTTGCCTGCAGCAATATATGATTTATTGTTCTTCAAGCCATCTTGGGTGTTTTCATAATGATTAAGTATATTTGTAAGCCATTTCTAATCGACATAGCCTTTATTACAGTATAGCATATATTTTCTGCCTCATTCTGCCACAAAAGCCACATCAGATCACAAAATGAAGTTATTTCAAACACTCGACTGATGTTGTGAAGTAAAAACAAGTTATAATGTTCTCTTTTGTTGAACAACAGGTTTAGAAAGGCTTCTTTATTGCATGTCATTACAAGGGAAGATGCTCGGCGTATGTTACTTTTTCAAATACTGTATAAGCTGGGAGGTGTTTCCTCATCTCAGCACGTGAACTCACGGACACACACACACAGCCAGTTCTGAGTGTAATAAAACACAGATATTATTTGAATGCAAAACCGACTGGCAGAATTGCAAAAACTGCAATTCATGAGCACGTATTGAACTATGGATGTCGTACAGAACGGTTCGATATTATATTGAGGATTGTAACATCCCTAGAAGAAACACTCGATTTTCAGTTAAAGGCAGTTCATCATTGAATTCAGTGATGTCATTGTCCAGCTCATTTCAGTTTAAATAATATCTGTGCAATCAAGTCGACGATATCGCTGGAAATTAAGTGTCCCCAACTAAGCAAGCCAGAGGTGACAGCGGCAAGGAACCAAAACTCCATCGGTGACAGAATGGAGAAAAAACCTTGGGAGAAACCAGGCTCAGTCGGGGGACCAGTTCTCCTCTGGCCAGATGAAACCAGCAGTTCAATTCTAGGCTGCAGCAAAATCAGATTGTGCAGAGGACTCAACTGGCTCCTGTGGTCTTGTCCCGGTGGCCGTCTGAGACAAGGTCTTTACTGGGGATCTGTATCTGGGGCTCATCTAATTGTCCTGGTCTACGCTGACATTCAGGGCTGTAGAAGTCCTCTCTAGGTGCTGATCCATAATCTGGGCTGGATACGTACTGGATCCGGGTGACTGCAGTGACCATCTGATCTGGATACAGACTGGATCTGGTGGCTACGGTGACCTCGGAATAAGAAAGAAACAGACTAATATTAGAGTAGATGCCATTCTTCTAACGATGTAGCAAGTACATCGGGTGTTATGGGAAGTGTTCCCGGTTCTGGTTGTCCTAATTAATGCAGCCTAAAAATCCTTTAACAGATTTGAATATTAGAAATGTGTTAGTGTGTTATGTGTAAGCCAGGTTAAAGGGATGGGTCTTTAATCTAGATTTAAATGAACAGAGTGTGTCTGCCTCCCGAACAATGTTAGGTAGATTATTCCAGAGTTTGGTCACTAAATAGGAAAATGATCTACCCTCGCAGTTGATTTTGATATTCTAGGTATTATCAAATGGCCAGAGATTTGAGAACGCAGCAACCGTGGAGGACAGTGTTTCTCACACCTACGGGTAAAAACATGAGTTTTCATCTGGCTTGAGATCTTGCAGTCTGAATGTAATGTCATGAAGGACGAGCTGCTACAGAATAATTAATAAACAATGAATGGATAACAGCACTTGGTGTTGCCTTGGCTTCACTGCTTACACGCAACAATAGACATAAACCAGTGAATGCAAGCTCTTTTGAGCCATCTTTTTTTAATGAGTCAGTCTTGAATTTACAAATCACCTGCCTGAAGTTACTTAATTGAACCGATCATATCTGATTGAAATAAAACATGTGCAGTTTGGAGTGTGCTTAAAGGAATAGTTCACTCCAAAAATGAAAATCTGCGGAAAATGTGCTCACCCTCAGATCATCCCAAACATAGATGAGTTTGTTTCTTCATCAGGTTTGTAGAAATGTGTAATTCCATCACTTGCTCAGCAATGGATGCTCTGCAGTGAATGGGTGCCGTCAGAATGAGAGTCCAAACAGCTGATAAAAACATCACAATAATCCACAAGTAATCCACACCAATCCAGTCCATCAGTTAACATCTGGAGAAGAGAAAAGTGTGTATGTAAGAAATCCACTGGAGTGGTGTGGATTACTTGTGGATTATTGTGATGTTTTTATCAGCTGTTTGGACTCTCATTCTGACGGCACCCATTCACTGCAGAGCATTCATTGCTGAGACACTGATGCAATGCTACATTTCTCCAAATCTGATGAAGAAACAAACTCATCTACATCTTGGATGGCCTGAGAGAGAGTAAATGTTCATTTAATTTTCATTTCTGGGTGAATTATTCCTTTACTACAATGTATTACAGTTCATGGGTTTGGTTCAGTAAATACTTGGTACATCATTCTTAAGCCCAAAGTATACATTTTTTGCAAATAAAATTATGCAAAAGTTTTGCACATGAAGTTATGCTATCATTTGAATATATACAAGTGGAGTTCTAGTGCATCTAAAGGATGACGGAAGTTTTTAAATGCACTGGTTGACATCACTTCCTCTCAGGATGTATTAGGTAGATGAATTCTTCTTAATCTTCAGTGCTGTGTTTGTAATGAACATCTATAACATGAGTAGGAAATGGAGTGCTTCTGGACATCCACTTACCTCTAAGAGCTGAGGAATCTTCTGTTGTTTGAAAGCTTTCTGAATAGGGAACATGAGGACTTGGTTTATGTTGTTACTGCTTTACAGCACTCATATGGTACTTCTGCTACATTCCATTAAATTTCAAAATATTAAAGTCAAAATATTCAACTTCCAACTTACACTAAAGTACACTAAAATGTCACAACGTCAGACTTCTGACTTGGAAACCCATGTAGATATATCATATACGCTGGTTTCTGAGATGATCTATGATGTCACGTGAACATTGCAGCAACCAGAGACAAATGTATAAACACAGTAAAGGATCCTCTGTGCCAAACAGATGTTTGTTGGCACTGAATAGCCTAATTTAGCCTCTGCAGTTTGTTTGCAATGAGATGTCTATTTGCTATTGAAGACTTGCAAAGCTAGTAGATGCGTTTTCACTTTGTTTCCCTATGAGCCGTCATCTGAGCATTGGTTCTTGAACACTTTTATGGTTGGAACTCGAAAGCCAGAGATACCAAGAATATAGGAATATCCAACGTTTCTCTCAATGATGCTTAACACCAAGGACAGTCCACAGCAAAGCTATAACGATAACGGCACAGAGGAACAATATTGTTGGATTCACTTTCAGCAAGATTTTTCCAGCTGATGAACAATAAAAACTGATGAACAATAAAAAATAAAATTTGTCAGCTGACATTAAAGAGCTGGAGCTGTGGACGTTGATATAGTTATCGTCATAGATGTCTGTACAGTTCTTGGTGGAGCTTTAATCAGATTCATCATAACTGCACTTCTCTCTTGTGTTAATTTCCCAGGCGTTGTTCAAGCAGAATAACGTTCCACAGGAGAGCCGTTTTAACCTGAAGAAGAACGTGGAGGAGGAGTACAGGAAGTGGAAGTCTATGACCGTTGAGAACGACATCATCACACACTTCTCCATGCAGGGCTCGCCTCCCCTCTTCCTGTGTCTGCTGTGGAAGATGCTGCTGGAGACGGACCACATCAACCAGATCGGCTTCCGGTGCGCCACTCACATTCTCTCCACCTGTTTCAGTACACCTCACAAGATTTGTGATTTTTAAAGTATGGTTCATCCATCCAGATCCTGTTCTTTTCAGGATGTCCTGAACGTCTAGCTTATTGTTTCATTTTTATCCATGTAAGAAAGTCTCCTTCACTCTTTAAGCTGGTAAAACCTTCTGTCAGTGCTTTCTCTGGTGTGTCTGAACTGGGATGTGAACTTAGGATGTTTTCACATCTGTCTTGTTTGGTTGATTGAATCGCACTCAAGTTTGTTTCCCCTCTTGTTGCGGATCTTTTGGGCAGGTGTGAATACAGCAATCGCACTCGGGTGCGGACCAAACAACCGTACCGAGACCCAGCTGAAGAGGTGGTCTCGGTCCACTTCCAAACGAACTCTGGTACAGTAAGTTTAAGGTGTGAACATGACTCAACCTCGATCCGACCCAATTCCAGAAATCACGCTCAGAAACAGACTGCTCGTGCTTATAGTGCTGTTGTTTGCATCTCAATGGCTTAAATCACTTGTTTTTAAACCGCAATTCTTAAAAATGCGTGCAGTTTTTGTGACCATGGCGCACAGCAACGTGACGTGAGCGCGCAAAATAGGCTAAAGCTTGCCGCAAAGTCCCAGCAAAAGTTACCATGAATGTGTCGGCGGGAAATAGTAAGGAGATGTTTGAATTATTTATTAATAAACTAGAGTCAGTGTCACAAAGATAGCTGACAATCCTGACTCGCCATCTCCTCATTGGATGCGCCTTTAGAAAGAAATGCATCTTTACGGATTACATAACGAAATAGTTTTTGTTTTGGATTTGAATTATTTCGATTTGTAGTAATTCAAAGCTTTCTATAGATATATTAATCATGTCTGTGAGGAAAATATTCACTGAGTTTCGGTTCATTTTTGTGAAGGGCCTCCTGCTCAAGACCGAGACGACAGAAAGCGCATCCTATTTGTTTTCTTTATTTTACAAAAGCACGTTTTGTTGATATTGTGAGTACACACAAATAAAAGTATTATAAGACCATTTACAGTTCCGAACAATGTATTCTTACCTTTATGAACAAAAATGACGGCCTATTTTAATTTGCTTCCACTGATGTCCTGAAGTGCTTCAGTTTCCACTCTCCGAACAAATGATTGGATATGCGCCTAATAGCGCACATTTATCTAGGTTAAATTTTTTAGGGGTTACATATCATGAAAATCTGACTTTTCCAGGTTTTAAGTGCTATAATCAGGTCCCCGGTGCATCTACCAATCAAGGAAATGTGAAAAAGATTAACCCAGTAACTTTGTTTTGGTAAGCCTTTTTCTGCAAGCGTTTGAAAAAACGAGCACGTCTGATTTCGCTCCAAAGGGATGGCAAAGGGATCTCATTATAATATTACCGCCCCTTAATCTGTAAGTTTCCACCCACGGCGCCATCATTTGATTTCGCAAGCGACAACGGTGTAGCAGCTCGAATGCCATGGCGAAAGTTTGAGCAAAACATGCTCACTGTTCTGTCTTTGGCTGCACAGATGAGCACAGAACACTGTTTAGAGTCCCAGCCTCAGAGGAGACAACAGAGCAGTGCATTTATTGATTTATTTACTGTATATTGCTGCTGCCACACAGATCTAAAATAAACAAGCGATTTATTTCCCAGCTGTTTACCTTCACAGACATAACCGGTAACTCGTGTGTCTTCAACGTAAACTTGTGTGTGAATGAGAACTTAGTTTAGTACTCACATGCTGTCTGGTGGCTGCTGTCTATCCGTGTGCTTCGGTTGTGTGCACTCAGAAAATCGTATGTCATTAGTTTAAACTAATATGGTTTAAAACGCATGATTTCAGCACGATAAACATGATAATCAGAGCCAAAACAGATGTTTTTAGCAGTTACCAGCTGTAATGGCGCAGCTCTATTCTGGAAAAGGGGGTGGGGAGCAGCAGCTCAATTGCATTTAAAGAGACAGGCCCGAAAAACAGTGTGTTTCTGCTTCCACTCAAAATAGGCATTTTCAAAATGATATAATAAATGATCTGTGGAGTATTTTGAGCTGAAACTTCACAGACACATTCTGGGGACACCAGAGACTTATATTACATATTGTAAAAAGGGGCATAATATGTCTCCTTTAAACTAACATTGTGATATGCTTTAAGTATTTTATATCTATAGATTTTATTTTCGGCAAGTCGTAATTACAGCATCGTATGACATTGTCTCATGATGCTAATAAGATTCTTCATATTGCGTTAGTAGATAACACCAAATCTAACAACCAAATCTAATAACCAAAACACCAAAAGAATAAAAAAAATTGCACTACGAAAGATCTCCATGATTAGCCTGGTTTTGCACTTGCTGCTTTACCCTGCTTGAGAATCGCTGTACAATGAATGGGATGACCTTAGCCACATGTGTGGTTTTGTTTACAATTTCTGGTTCACTTGCAAAAAGGGCAGTGTGAAAGTGAATCGCACCAAAAAAAAAAAAAATATCAACATTGTATTTAGGTTTGATTTGGTTGATCAAAGCAAGTGAACTAGCAGACTTTCCTGGTGTGAATACACCCTTAGTGTTTGTGAAGCTCCTTTTTCCTCTTTTAAAAAAAAAAAAATTATTTTGTTTAAGTCATATACCACACTAAACAAGCGACTAACATAACATAGCTAACTACTAGTAGTGAGAGTAAAAAAAGATCCTCTTTGATTTCTTTCCACCATGGGCTTTTACTAATCTACATTGGATCTTTACTGTCTAAAGTCTTTATATCGACTCTCAGCTGAAGTTTTCAATCAGTGCATGACCTTGGGAATCACTCGACGTTTTCACTATGTCCATTGTGGATCACGTTGTTGTTGTGTGCTTTGTCAACAATCTGGAATTGCGATGACAAGTCCCTCGTTCTGATACATTAGTATTCATCTCATCACCCTGCTCAGTGTACAGAAGCTCACTGCAGCAACTGTGAGATACTTGAAATACTGCTCTCCATCTGTAATTTTTCTCTGAGCCACTAACCGTTAAGTTGGCATTATTGATTGCGGGGATGATATCGAACAAATTGTTTACAAATTGCTTACATGACTTTTTAAAACCAGCATTAGATTTCCTGTTTGTGACTGAGACTTTAAGGATAATTGACACTAAACGCTCTCTTAGAAGAGAGTGTAGAAAACCTGAATACAAAGATAGGAAATGATAAACTCTAGAACTCATATGGAATTTAAAGGGACCATCTTGTAAATTATCTGAAATTAAATTTCTTCATAAACTAATTTCAGAGAATGCAAGTAGCCTGAAACCATGATCAGTTTTACATCCTATTTCGGCTACTTATCCGAATGCATCATCTGAACCCAAGCAGATGTTACTCCTACTTTTTCATTAAAAAACAAAAAACAAAAACAAAAACAGAAAATGAAGGCTTCTGTTGTGACTTCAAACTTTTCTTCTCCATCAGGAGGAGGTTGCTTTGACCACTTTTAACCAGAATCATCATAGGGTATGGCTATACTATGGTTCACCTCCTCCTTAAGCGGTAGGAATTTCGCTGTGATTGCAGGGTTCCTCAGGGCTCTGTTTTAGTACCTCTGCTGTTTGCACTCTATATGTTTACCCTGAGCTCAGTTTTTCAGAAATTAAATTTTTCCTGTCTTTGCTACACCAGTGATACTCAGTTACTTTCCAGTAACCTGGCAGTAATGGCACTGTTGCTAGTATGCTTGAATCTTTGGAGGAAATTGAACCATAGATGACAAGCAACTAAGCTATTGAAGCTAAGTGAATCTAAACTGAAGATCCTAGGCTCTCCCAGGGCTGCCTCAACTATTCAAGCCCAGTTAGGATCTCTCTCGGCTAATGTTCAGATTCATGTTAAAAACATAATTTTCATAATGTTATTTGACAGTATCGTGAAATGAATCCATATGAATATAAAGTGACACAACAACAAATAGAAATGTAAGGCTTTGTTTCATTTTCAAATTATGATATAAAGCAATGTAGGGCCCTATCAAATCCATTTAATTTTTCCCAAATTCTTTTAAAATTTTTTTTTTTTTTTTTTTTTTTTGACAAATGTTGCTTTTTTTTCATTTGAATTTTTATGGATTCTGTTTTTTTTCCTTCAGTTTTAAATTTTCTGTACTCAGTTTTAATGATTTAATTGATTAGTAATCAAAAATGTAAACTATGGAGCTTATACAATTTAAAAACAATTTATTAAAAGTTAAAAAGTACATTTTAGGGCCCTATTTTTCTCCAATTACATTTTATTTTTCCCAAATTCTGTGTTTTACATTTTTATTTATCTGGATTCCATTTGAATGGGTTAATTACATTTTAAAATTCAAAAGGTATGTCTAATCAGCTGAAACCATAAAATTATAACAGCTTAATTTATGAAATGATTTACAATAATAGGGCCTTATGAAATATTTCTTAAGATATTCTTTGTGTATTTAAATTTTTCTGGATTTATGATTTAATACAAATGTATCATTAACAATGGTGCTGATCAAATGAAGGTATGAAAAATTAATTCATATTTTAAAATATAATCAAATAAAAATTCAATAGTTTATTTTATTTTTTTGACAAACAAATGGCTGCACAGTAAAGGTTTACTGTTCAAATTAAAGCATGTAAAAAGACTTTGTAAGTATTCCTTAAAATTTTTAATCAAATTATTACTTATTAACCTATTATTAAAGTTATTACTTTGAGAAGCACATTGTACTGTACAATAGTAATATATTTCTGTCACAATTTATATTTTGACGGTAGGGCTGGGCGATATGTTTAAATTTAACCACTGTATTTTTGAATTAACTCAATTTATTGAGACAAACAACAAATATTTTTTTGTTTTAAAAGTCAAAAACAAAATAAAAATTAAACAAATATCTCATTCAAATATCAACATGGCAAGTAAGATGGCGCTGCACACGGCCGCCTCAGTGCTTGGCTCTCCAGTGTTTGTACTGTTTTTGTTCGTTTTTCCTTTTTTTTGTTTCTCAAACACGATCAGTTTTACCAGGGATGAACTGCTGAACATTC